GTGGCTCTGGAGGATCTGGCTCCTCGGGGTCACCTCGCTGGTAGCCCCGGGGGGACCTGTGGTTCCCTCTGCCCCTGATTCCTAGAGGAATCCAGGCCCCTCTCCCACCTCCTAAACTTCCAGCGGGAAAGCCAGGCTGGGATTTTTCCAAGGGTCATAGGGGATTTATGTGGCTGAGTCCTGCTTTTTGCTGAGAAGTGCTCCTCTCTCTGCAACCCCCATCTCTCCAATGCGTGTGTGTGCATATATATGTCTATATATACACACATAGATGTGTGGGGGTATATTTAGTGCATTAGTCACTTCTTCGACTATAAAAACTGAAACTTCAGTTGGCTGCTGCTCCTGTAAACATATGTTCTACTTGTAACTATAACTCGGCTTTTATTATTCCGCCTTCCTCCTCCGAGCGCCGTGCGGGGCGTACGGCTGGGAGAGCAGCAATAATAGCATTAGTGCCACATCGGAGCATTCAAAATAATGGGTTAAGTCTCCAAAATCCCCCAACCGGCTCCAAAATAGGAAGATTATTTGAAAATTGGAAGCACTGTGATCTGGCCATGCTGCTTGCCAGTGACTGGATATTTTGGGTTTGGTTTCTCCACTTTCCTCTCCCTGACCAGGACCGGAGAAGTGTATGGAAGTTTAAAAGCAGCTAAGACTGATCCAGCATGAGGGCTTGGGCTTTTTAGCAGCTTGTCTTTAGCTGCATCTAGGCGTGGGATGGAAGCCCTGGCGTTTGCAACTCAGCAGCACGTGGCTCCGGTGTTTTCAGTGGGTTTCTTGCCAAAATATATTTGGAAACGGAATGATGGATGGGAGGGATGATCCCCATGAAAACGGCTGTTGCGCAGGGGAGAGGGCTCATCTGCACTGCACACATCTGAGCCTTCAGCCTCATTCACTTTGCTGGGGTTTTCTGTGCTCGTTATTTGGGCTGGGGAAGTGGCTGATGCAAAGTGAAGAGGGGGAAAAAAAAAGACAAAGAACAGGGCTGTGGACATGGCTGTGCGCCGTGTACCTGCACAGTTTAAAAACAGACATAAGTGTAGCATCCTAAGCAGGAAGGCATTATTTTTGTCTTGCATATTCTGCATTTCAGAATTTTAAAGAAAATATTAGACTTCTAGCAGTGGTCCAAGAACCACCCTTATAACACTGCATGACAGCACAAGGATCTGAAAGTCTGGTGGAAATGGGAGCTATCCACATCGTGGCCAAAACACATGGAGCAGAGCTCCGAGTTACATTGTTGCCGTTAATTTTACACTTCTTTCCGTGCCAACAACAAGAGGTTTCTGGGGATAAGAGCCGGGGGGCGCGATTTGGAGGCTTGGATTTGTGTAATTAAGCAGAATAGCTCTTCTGCCTGCAGCTTTCCATGTCCTAATGCAAAATTGCATGAGCCAGGGCTGGAGAGATGCAGCCGTCGGGCCTGGAGGACGGTGCTGCTGCTCCGGGTTAATTAGCTCCATTGAACTAATGAGCGCAGAGCTTGGCATGAGCACAAGGGTCCAGGGAGGGCACTGGGGATTCCTGGTTTGCTCAGGTCTGAGTTGCCATAAACTCAGCGGGATTAAGGCCCTTTTAAAGGGGAATGGGGATGTCTCCATGGGATGCCCTCTTGCTGTTGGCTCGAGGGGACAGGAGCACCCGCGGCTGCCACTGTCCCCTGTGCTGCCTTGGCAAAGCAGCCAAATGTGCTTTAAAAGCGGCAAAAGGCAAATGACAGACTAAAAGCCATCGTGGTTCTGGGTAGTGCTTGCTGCCCTAGGAAAAGGGCTCCGTGTGCCCCTCCGGGCTCCTAGCTGCTCCTGGGCAGGTTGCACTGGATCGCCCGTTCCTCGTCTTGGATCGCCCACCCTCCAGCACGTGCATCCCTGCAAATACCCAAGGATGTGGCACTGAGCATAGTCTCTGCAAAACAACCTCTTCTTTTGGCCTTCTCAGTTTAGTTTCCCTGCTGAGAATGGTCTTGGACACCTAGTTGAGCTCACCCTGATGCTCCTGTCTCTCTTTTGCTCCTTAAACCAGGTCAGGGCCCTTCGAGCTCTACAGACAAGGCAGGAGGCAGTGCAGGAGGAGGGTCCTGGCGTGCATGGAGTGTCTGGCTCTTCCTCAAGGAGCCACATGTCTTTATCCAAAGGCTGTTTGGAGTTGCCTGTCATTAAGAGGTGCTTGGGGTCCTCAGCATTGACCACTGCCCTGCCAGCACATGGGACCAGTGTGTTTTGGAGGGTGGTTTCTGCAGCTGCCACATCTAAATTGGGGCTAGATAGTAGAACTCAGGCCCTGGGCAAAGGTTTCTACCTGATTTTGTGGCCAAAAAGCCCCATGTTTCCCCGCGTTGGTCAGGAGCCATTGGGGAGCAGCGATGGCGAGCGGCTCGTCGCCATCCCATGGCTGGTGACGTTGCTGGAGCCGGTGACATGGATCTTCTGGGAGCGCCGGTCGCTCCGGTGCTTTTCCCGGGTCTCCCCGTTCTCGTTCCGCAGAGACCGGAGCCGCCGGAGCCACCGTTCCCTTGGCAACGCGGCGATGCCAGGTTTGCGCCGTCACGGTGGCAGCGGGACGGTGGGCGCCGTGTGCGGGCGGATGCCGGCGGCCCCGGGGGATGCCCGACAATTCCAACGCAAACGCGGTGTCATTCCCGGCATGGAGCCGGCAACCCATGGGGCCATCCCAGATTTTAGAGAAAGGAGCTTTGGTCTGGATGGACAGGCAATGTTGGTGGCGCTCTTGGTAAGGAATCAAGGCACTTGTTGCAGCTCTTGTAACAGGTCTTTCCATGCATGTGACTATTTAACCTTATTGCTATATACCGTAGTGAGATCATTTAGAAGAAAGTTGATTTTAGAAATTCAGGGTCCCAGAGAAAAGGTACCCCCAAAAAGCAGAAAGTCTCTCTGCATCTCATGGGCCGAGTGTGGTTCCGATGCAGCTAACAGCAAAATTACAACAGATTTCAGCATACCTGGAATTTTATTCCTGCCTTCTCTCATACCCACTGAATTTGGCCAATGTCGCTAAGAGGCAAAGGAGTGGGAGAAAAAGAATCCCAGTTACAATATGTGAAGTGATTGGGAATGCAGGTGTCCGGGGAGCAGCTCGGGAGTGTGTCTGCAGGGAGCACTACGCGGATCCCATCAAGTAGTGCAAATATTGGAAGCGGGGGTCAGGCTGTGTCTGGGTCTGTCACGCTCTGTTTTCTCTATGGGACAGGGTTACTGCTCTGCTTCTGATTAGGAAAAAAGGAAGGGGGAGCCAAACAGCCCCTGCAAATGTCAAAAATCAGAAAGGAGTCATTGAAAAGAGACGAATAAACAAACCAAGGTTGGTGTCTTAGCAATGTGCAAGTTCTCTGGGGCTGTGGCCAGAACGTGGCCTCTTCCAGAGCCGCTGACACGGGGACCTGGGGTCTTATTTGTTGTTTATTTGCATAGAGCATTTCCATCTTGGACCAGTGCTTCCAAGTGTGACGTGTCTGCACCCCAGCAGCTCCACAGCATTCCTAGCCCTGAATTTTCCAATTAAATTGCTCTCTAAACCCAAAAGCTTGGGGAGCAGTGGGGAAATCTTCCTTCCACTTGTGGATTGCTGCCTTTGGGTGCCTCTGGTTGAAGGTGCTGGAGAAAGGACACCATTCCCCACAGAGCAAGAGGAAGGGATTATCCTTAGATTTAAAAGGATGGCAGTAAAGCACCCTCTCTTCCATGAGAAAGGGTAAATATGGTAGGGTTTTTGTTTGCTTTCCTGAAGTAGGAGAATTTTTATTATCGGAAATAAGACAATGTCTATGTTCTCTCTCCATGATCCCTTGCTCACACACACTCGTTTGCAAGCAGGAAGGTTTATTCATACACAGATGTTTCCAATTACATTCCTATGAACAGTTCTCTCATTCAGGTCTAATTTGTGAAACTCCTGTTCAGTTCCCCCAAATCTTTTTTTATTGTTTTTAATGGTCGTACCGGCAGCAATAATCACAAGCTCTGAGCCTAGTTTGTACTGAGAAGAATCAGCACTTAGTGCTTTGAAACTGTAATGCTGCTGCAGTTGTGCATTGGTGGGTCTGGTAGGAGAATTTGGTCTTTTTGGGGGGGGAAATATGGAAATATCTGGCCTTGAACCTTTTCCTTCCCCTTCCAAGCTGTGAATCCCGTGTTCCAGCTGAAACCTGGTGTCTTCCTGGAACTTGCTGAGCCGGTTCTGAGCAGGAGCAGGTCCAGCTGAACTGTTCGTTCCCTGCATCGCTCTGTGATTTACATCCCAACATGCCGTCATCCCTGGCCCTACCAGCTTGTGCTATTGGCTTTGCTTTGTTTTCCTTTTATATCTACGGTCATGATGTAGAGCTTGATCTGGCCTCCTTCGTTCCTTGAGACTTAGGTGCTGAGGAAGGAGATAAGATGCATGTGGCAACTGCTGTAGTGACTTGTTAAGGGAAGGAGGAGGACAACCTCTGGTTGGAGCAAGGACCTGGAGAGCCCACCTGAGGCCTGGGTGACTCAACGGTGCTCGAATCCATTCATCTTTCTTTGTCTTGATTTTTCTTTTCCGTGGTAGCAAAAGAGCAAGTGCTAAGGGATGTTGTGGGTGACTCCATGGTGAAAGCCTTGGAGATCTGGGAAGGAAGTGGCTCCAAGGGCAGGACAGGGCCTGCCGGGCTCTCTGCTGCTCCTGTGCGTGGCTGCAATGCAGTAATGACAGCTAAGTGGCTTCAGATGGAAACAGCAATGTGCCTTTCTGTGCTTTCCTAACTTTGCTTCTCTGTAGGTAATGAAAAGCAGCCTTTGTCCCTTGGTCTCACCAGGAGTTCCCTTTCCAAGGCCCTTTCCCATCAATTACTAAAAAAATTCAAGTCTTAGCATCCCCTGGATGTTTGGGAGTGCTTCCTCTGTTGCCCGTGCCAGCAGTGAGGCCTTTTTGCCAGGTAAATGGCGGGTGTCTCGGCTCTGGCGTCCCCTTCCCCTGCACCCTCGCGATGGCCAAGCGTGCGCTCTCCTTAACGGCCTCTTCCCACGTGGTTCGAGCACGTCAGCATGCTGGTCATTCTGCTGAACTGCGTCACCCTGGGCATGCTCCAGCCCTGCGAGGACGTGGAGTGCCAGTCGGAGCGCTGCACCATCCTGGAGGTAAGAGCACAAGCGCCGGGAAACCCGGGAGCTGCCTCAGATGGACCTACCTGGCACGATCCCTTCTCTGCTCACGGGAAGGGTTGGGAGCTCCAGACTGGGTATCAGGGAGCCTCTTGCTCACAGGCAGCAGCTTGTGCTCTGTCCAGGTCACTGCTTGCCTTGCTACAGTGCTGTCAGGCCCTGGTGACTTTGACCTCTCTTGAAGAAGGTAAAACATGGTCCATGTCCCTGCCCGAGTCCCGCAGCTGCTGCACAGCCAAAGAGCAAGATCAGCAGATCTTGGAAATGCCTCCTAGCACAAAAATCCCTCCCAGATGGTAAGCCTGGAGCTGTTGGCTCCGTGCCTGCCCTGCTGGCCCTGGCCCAGGCCTGGCAGTGCCCTCGCTGCCGTGTGCCCACATGGTTTGCTCTGGGAGCTCCTGCTGCGTGGGCTGCACCGTGGCACGAGTCCTCCTGCAGCGACTGGCTTCCGAGGCTCGAAATGAGCTCTGCAGGCTCCTTCGTGCCGTGCATCAACCTTTGGAGCCTTCACATTATATATATGTGAATATATATATATGCTGCTTTACCTCCCATGGAGGTTTTGAGCATTAAAGAAGGGCCTCTGGGTCATTCCAGCCAAGCTCTCCTGCCCCTTTCAAGCCTTGGTCCAGACTTGTCTGCAAATCCCCCAAACTCGTCTGCACCAAAACCTCCTTTGGCCCAAAGGGATCTGTTAAACACAGAGCCCAAGAAGCCACGTGAACAGGGACACACCACAGGGCTTGTCAAGGAATAAAAGGTTGGAGAAACTATTGTTTGAGAGGTGGCCAGCATAGGAATTTCTCCAAAGGGTCAGGTGGAAGAGCCCTCAACCTCCATGTGCCTGCAGTTTATTTACATGAACTCACCCATGTGGGACTTTGTTTGGAGGACGCTTGTCCCTGCAAAGCGTTCAGGCCAACAAAGGGAATCCTGCCTGGGTAAGGAGGTGACATTAATGAAGGTTTGTTATTTGCTTCCTTTTTTAATGACAATATAATTTAATCAGGTCGCAATCATAGAGCTTGTAAAACATAGAGATCTGTTCTCCCTCAAATAAACACTTGTAGAATCTGCAAGGAGCCCAGGCATTGAATTTGGATTCTAATAATTGCGGGATGATTATGACATATTGAATATATTTGTAAAAAAGCAAAGTGTTATCCCGGAGGGTTTGCAGGCAGAAAAGGGCTACGAGTAAAACCATGTTTATCCATCACCCTGTCGCAGCTTGCAGGAGGAAACAGAAGCCAGAACATGAGGTAGAAAAACCTGAACTTCTTTGTGGAGGCGTTCAGATGCCAATTATTAAATGAACTGAAATAATGGAGCAAAACTTCAGTGCAGTTTATCCAGGGGAGCGTTGGTTGATAAAGCCAGCAGCTAGATGAGATGGTCCTTGCACCCAACCACGCGGAGGTGCATGGATGCACAGCGGGAACTTGGCTCCCGCATGGAGACTCTGTTAAATTTTCCATGAATCCTTTCAGGCCTCAAAAGAAAAGTGCCAGGGAAACAATCCCTGATAGTGTGAGCACTGGGCAAGTGGTTTGGAGAGTTGTTCCGTTTGGTGGATGCCTTTGCAGCGCGAGCGCTGCCGTCTCCGCTGCCCCTTTCCCTGAGAACGCAGCAGAACTGACTGTAATAATCTCTTACTGGTCTCCAGGCATTTGACGACTTCATTTTCGCTTTCTTTGCGGTGGAGATGGTCATCAAGATGGTGGCTCTGGGGATCTTCGGGCAGAAGTGTTACCTTGGAGACACGTGGAATCGCCTGGACTTCTTCATCGTGATGGCGGGGTCAGTAACCAAACCTCATCAACTTGTTGTTTGCACTGAAAGTCCAAAAACCCCAGAGAAGTGCATCTGTGGGTTGTCCTGGCTGGTTTTCCTAATGTCTTGTGGAAGCTGCCGAGTTTGAGCCAAATCAACATCTCGCTGGTTTAAGCTTCTGGCAATGGCTCCTGGTGATGGGAAGGGATGTGAATGTCATTGCCAAGAGGCCAAGGGAGGCAGAAAACAGAGAGGGGCAAACATAGGGTAAAAGAAATTGCTTATTTCTGAAATCATGTCCATTTTAATAAGGAGTAGTGTACTTAGCAGCCTGCACTAAGGGATTTAATTAAAGTGAGCTCTTCGACTTGGCAGGAAAGCTGCTGTTCTGTGTGGACCTGACAGCTGTCGTGACACCATCGGAGCAAAGCAGAAAGGCAGAACTTAGCCAAACAGGGCAATCCAGCCCCAAAACCTGGTTCAGGAGATAGAAATTCCAGTGGGGAAAAATGGCAAGAAGTTGGCCATCATCTGCCATTGCCGATCCTCCTAGATGACAAGTGCCTGCGGATTTCTCCTGTAAACTTTGTGGGTTACATTTTAACATCATCTCCCACAGCTGCTTATTTCTGTAGCATCTGCTAATAAACAGGGTTAACTCATCTGCTGAATCACCCCAGGAAAATTTGGGTTCTTCTGCCACCAGCATCCTCACACCGTAGGGAAAAGCTGAGTGAATGGCATTGAAAAGTCATTTCAATAAACAAATAACTTCTAGAAACCCTGTCTCTTTTACCTGCTTGGCACAGCGTAGAAAAGGATAGACTGGTTTAATTAGAGTACTACCTTATTTCTGAATTCCTTGGTTTATGACATGACCTGTCTGGGGTTAATTAGAACATTTCTGTAATATGTTGGGGGTATTTTTACCCTTGCATTAGTGAGGTACCGTCTTAACTCCATTAATAGAGAGGCTTTGTTTTGCTCCATGTCTGGAATACAATTAGGAATGGCCTTCTGGCTTTGAATAAAACACGAGCTATCCCAAGCAGAGCTGCCTTTGGACCCACGTGTGCTTCCAGGTGGCAGGAACAGCAGGAGCACCACAAGCCACTGGGTTTTCCACAGCGGTGGAAGCTGCAGGCTGGGTTTCCCTGGGAATCTCGGGATTGGAAATTTGGTGTCAGGAACCAAAGGGGCTGGTGGCTTCCCCACACTGATCCTGCAGGATGGGCTCTCCTGAGGGCAAGCAGAGCTTCCCGGTGACATCAGTCAGATCTTCGCAGCAAAGCTCTACAATAAAATATCACATGCAGGTGCAGAAGCTCAGTCCTTGGCTCCTACTCCAAAGACAGATTTTGTTACTGGGGTCTTTTGTTCACTTAGACCTGGGCTGGCTGGGAAGTTGGCCAGTGAGTCAGTTTGATAGTTTTCCAGGCCATTTCCAAGCTTCCATGGCAAGTGCTGGAGAAGAATGACAAGAGCAAAAACGCCGTGAAACCCTTCAGGAAGCCCCCGTCCTGGTGCACTGGCACCGATGCTGCAGGTGAGAAGTGGGACAAACCCTTTTGCTGGCTGATCCCAATCCTCTCTGGCTGATTTTGGGATATGGAAGCCATGCCTGTAATGGGATTGCCTCCAGCTCCACAAGAGAGGCTGCTTTGGAGCTGGGGTGGCCAGTGGGCAACGCTAGTAAAGGGCAGGGAGATGCGTGGATGGTCTGGGACTTATTTGCCTCTTCTATCACCACTGTTCCTAAAACCAGAGATGCTTCTAGCAGCAAGCAAACTACTGGAGTAACTCAGTTGCTTTCCTCAAGCGAGTGGGTGGATGCGATGAAGTTCATATGAGGCTGCTCTAATAGGAAGAGAAACAAGTGATCTGCAGCACTGCCCGCTTTGTTCGTCCCATTTGGTCTCCTCAAATAAGCTGATTTGGCTTCCTAGCAAATGTACCAAAGAAAACGGAGGGTGAGCAGGGAAACTACAAAATAAACATATCTTCTGCCTTTAGCAACAGATTGTCTCTGAAGTTTGTTCCAGCACTGAAAGCCCTTTCATATTCTGCTTGCCTAAGAAATGTACCCTGGAAAATTTCAGAACGAATGGAGCTTACAACCTTCCAGTCTGACCAGCAGCCAAGTTGAAAGCATTTCCCAAGCATTAGAAATGTTATCCGCAAGAGCGGAAACCAGGGAGATTGCCCGTGCATCCAGTCCCTGGAGACACTGCAGACCCATGCGACTTGCTTTGGACATCCTCAACTTGACAGCTCAAGGAAAAGAAGCTGTTCGTGGTAGAAGACACTGCAAAAGCTTGAGCCTGTTTTGGGTTTTTTGTTGTTTTGGTTTGGTTTTCCCACATGCAGAGGCTTTGGGGAATCATCTACCAAGGGCCAGGCTCTCTAGACCCTGCAGAGCCAAAATTTCCAGCTCCCATGTGTTTTCACAGGGAATTTCCTGGCTATCCTTGGCTTCTGAGTGTGGCGTGGGAACAGGACCCCAAGCTGCTCTTGACCAAGAAACTTCAGAGTTTTACATGAAGGTTGCAGCTGATTTCTCTGCTTCTAGAAGGTCCCATCTGGAATCCATTGCATTCAATGAAGTGGTTTGCAAATGTGGATCCTTTGCAGCTCACTTTGAGAACATTAATGGTATCCCAGTGAAGGGCCAGATAACATTTGTGAAGTCAGATCTTAGCTTCTAACAGGAGCATCAGGTTTGGCTCCCAGAGTCAGAAAGTCCATTTGCAAGGTCAGATCTTAGCTTCTTCTAACAGGAGCATCAGGTTTGGCTCATTTCAAGCTTCAAGGTGCTTTTGATTTATAAAGACTCATTAGCTACAGCAGGGAAAAAACATCTGTGGAAGGTTATTGCTGAAAACAGCATCAAATCGGCATGGTCTGAAAATTTGGGTTAAAACATGGGGAAATAAGGTAAAGGGCCAAAGTCAGCCCAGTGCCAAACCAGTGATGTAATGGGGCTGCATCCCAAAAGCCCTAAGCAAGGGGCTTGACACCAAGCAAGGGGTGGCACATAATGGTTCAGGGAACATCCTGGTAGAGGATGCTGAAGCAGGGAAAAAAATCTCCCTTTCTGCCCTGAAACTACTGAGATTACAGCAGCTCTGCTTATATTTGCCTTCCTCCTTCCCTATCTTTTTGTTTATTTAAAGAAAAAACAAAAGCCCTTTCTGCACCAGGGCCAGCGTTGTGCTCGCAGGGCGGCATTTGATGCCGCTATGTTATTTGAGCAGGCGGGGTGAGAGATTTGTGACATATTTACAAGTGTTTCCCTGTAGTCAAACCCATAAATTGTAATTACAGCCATGCTAACTAGCCATAGCCCCATCAAAAAACAGCAACACTCCATGCATTTGCCACTTATTGCTATAAAAGAGCAAGAAAAGGGACTAAACTGAATGTCCTTCCCAGCCTGTGAGAAAAATGTTTACGTGAGATGGAGACAGAGCATGAAAAAGAAAACGTTCCCTATTCCTAATAATAAAATGGGAAGCAAACTACCCCAGACTTTGTTTGGCGGCTCAGTTTGGTTTGGTGTGTGGTCATAGGAGAAAAGATTGGCTGCTGTGAACACATGTGGGATGTTGGTAGGGGGGATCTGAAACATCTTCTTGCCCTGGGGCCACATGGGGATGTGGGGAATCAGCCTGGCAAAGCGGGGTGCAGGATGGGGGGGTTTTCCATTCCATATTGGCATTCCCGGAGCCGGCGACTCGCGCACTCCGTGCAGGAGCATCCTGACGGCTTCTCCCTTCCCTCCTTAGCATGATGGAGTACTCCCTGGACGGCCACAACGTCAGCCTGTCTGCCATCCGCACCGTCCGCGTCCTCAGGCCGCTGCGAGCCATTAACAGGGTCCCAAGTAAGTGCAACCTCTCCGGCCCTCGCTGCAATCCCTGTCTAGCTCCATCTGGGAAAAGCAGGGATTTATCCCCCCAGCTGCTTACACGTGCACTAAGTCTCACAGGTGTCTCCATGCTGGCTGGGAGCAAATTCATTTATTCTAATTTTTGACGGTGAGGAAGAGCTCATTTATTAGCGTTATCAGTGTTAGGAAAGGGCAACGCGCGTAGGTTTTGTACCCAGGATGCCAAATTTTCATGGCTGTTTTCCAACATTTTTGTGAACTCCCTGAGACAAGTGAGTGTATCAAGACCTTCCCAGCCTGCTCCTTGTGCTAAGGCAATAACAAAGTTCCTATAAAGAAGGGGGAAAGAGCAAGGCTAAAAAGGATCTTCTCTCCCTGGATAGGTTTGTTTTTCCTTTCACGCTGCTGAAGGTCTCTCCATCCCTTTGTGCTCAGGATTAGAAGTGCAGCAGCCTCTGTTGCTGGTAAAACACCACGGCTTTGCTGTCGTGCAGAGCAAAATTGGGTTTATGCACGATGGGAAGTTCAAGTGGCCCCTCAACCCATTTCCAAGTAGATTCAGCTGCTCGTCTTCTAAATCCAATTTGAAAGAGCAACCAGCAAGTTGCAATAATTTCCTGCTAACAGCAGCCATCCCCTGAGCAGTCCTTCATGACATACTAATTTCATAGCTCTGCTGTCCCGTTTGAACCAAAATCCTCTCTGTGCCGAATGCAGCAGCATCGCGTGGGGATCGGATGGGGCGTCTGCAGAAAGGGCTTTTCCTGCTGCTTTGAAAAGCACCCGGAATGAGCGGTCCTTGCCGAGCATCCTGCCTGGAATGTGGGCACTTCTCCTGACAGCAAAACAAACTGCCTCGGAAGAGTCCTGCTTCCAGTCCCATAGAGGAACAGGCGAGGGAACAGATGGATGTTTACACACAGGAATCTTTGAAGTTGCTCTCTGAAGTATGATTTGCTAGGATTTTTCCCCCCACCACCAAAAAAGAAAAAAAGAGAAAAAAAAAGAAAAAATATCTAAATTCAACAGTGACCAAACAGCTCTGAGTTGGGCTGACGCTGGGCTCAGTTGCAGGTTCTCTTCTCACTACTTTATTCATCTCCACCTCCCAGGAGACAGGTAATAGAAAAATCTTTTTTTTTTTTTTTTTGTTAATAGTACGTGAGATTAAATCCAAAGAGCTAAATCCGTGCTCGGTGTTGCCTGGCTTGATGAGCAGCTAGGCTGGACTTATAACATTAGCAGTAGTTTGAACCCGCGCCAGGGTAGGATTAGCATCCTGTGGAGCCGCTCGCTCCCCGGCGGGAGGGTAATCGCGGCCTCCCCGTGTTTATGAGATGCTAACGCCACCCGCGTGCAACTTTGCTGCTTCTCCTGTGTCAGTCTGATGCCCGATATAACCCAGGAGCTGCAGGGATGGTAGCGATGACCCTGTGTTTTGTTGTAGTTTGGAGTGTCCGGGCGATAACGCTGCCTAGTCTCCCATCCATGGGAATGCTACGGCTTAGCATGGAAATTCCCTCCCTCCAAATGCACCGGCCGTCCAGGGACGGGGCAGGAGATGGGAATTGTGGCTGAAAATGAAGGGACCCCCCGTGCTGGGGGTCTGCGCTTTGTCCCCCCAAGCCTGGGCATGGGCCTGGGCTCCAGCCAGCGCTATTAGCTCTTTGCTTCCAGGCACAGTAAATTCACCCACAAGATTATTTCATTTTTCTTTTATTATTTAAGAAAAGAAAGGAGAGCCTCAGCCAATAAAAACATCATCTCTATTAGAAATTATTCCTTGGAAATGACAAGAAAAATATAATTCCTACAATTTATATCATTGGCAAGGGCCGTAGTTTTAAGGCAGGCAGGGTTAATAGCGGTCACTTGTGTGTTTTCTTTTTTTTTTCTTTTTTCTTTTTTTTCCCAAGTTCTTTTGCTTTCTTTATTTTCATTTTTGTTCTGTGTGGTTTGAAACAGGCTTCACATGAGCACACAGAGAGATGCTGATCCCCATCCCAGCCTGATAATCCCTTCCCAGGGACACTTGACGCTTGGCCGGCAGCGAGCGGGTCGCTCGCAGATGGATTCAGGCTTGCAAACGGTGCCGCTAAACAAGCCCAAATACCGGGAGTGGAAAAAGATGGTCTGCCACAGGGAGATAAATTTTCACTATTTTGGGGGGAAAAAAGGACAACTCCATGCAGGCAGGGACAGTGGTTTGCAGAGCAGCAGCTTAGGGGGTAAAACGACGGAAAAGATGGAAAATTGTGTGTAGGAAGGAGCATTTTCCCTGGCTGTTGGCAGGATGTTGCTCTGGCAGTGGTGCTCGAAGCTGGCGAGCGGGGGCTGCTCTTGTGTTGCTGGAGGCAGCAGGAGCCGTGTCCTCCTTGGAAGAGTCCAGAGAGAAGGCCCGGAGAGCCACCGCAGCCTAGATCCCTCCCGAGGCTCCGGCTTCCTTAAGGGAAGATTCAAGTGAACCCTTCGGTCTGTTTATAAATACATATTTTGACAGCGCCCCAGCGGGCTGATGCCTCAGGGGGTGTTTGCAGGGAGCGGCTGTCGTGCAGCTGTGCCCACGGTGACACGTTGTCGAGCGGGTGTCACCGAGGATGCCTGAAGAGCCCTCCCCAACATCTGGAAGTTCCCTCTGGCTGCTGCTTTATCCCGTTTGCTGCTGCCTCCCCCAGGGTGGCTCTCGCCCCATCCGAGGGCTCCTCTGACGCGTTTTCTCCTTCCCGCAGGTATGCGAATACTCGTCACCCTGCTGTTAGATACTCTGCCTATGTTAGGCAACGTCCTCCTCTTGTGCTTCTTCGTCTTCTTCATCTTTGGGATCGTCGGCGTGCAGCTCTGGGCAGGGCTGCTGAGGAACAGGTGTTTCCTAGACAGGAACTTTGCCATGTAAGTACGGCCCCAAATCCCCCATCACGGCCCCAAATCCTCCCACAACAGCCCCAAATCCCCCCTTTTCTTCCTCCTTCCCTGCTAGGGATGGCCCCGTGCGCTCACCGCTCCTCTGCCAGCCGGGACCTCGGTGGCCCTGCACAGCTCTGCCCCTCAGAAAGCAGCAGGTTTTTAGCCTTTGTAACATCAAACTTCACCCCTGCGTGTGCCGAGATGCAGCTCTGGCCTTGTGGTTATCTGCATCTCCAGGGAGCCACTCGAGCAGCCCCCTGCACATAATCCCGGGCAATATTTGAACGATTGACTGCTGCCAAGTTCACCCTGGTGCTTGACTTGCTTTGCGGCCCTGACATATCTCCAAAGCTATGAAAACACCGCGGACGCTCGGGGACGGGTCGCTAGATGAACCAACACATGGAAATCAGCCAGGAAAGCGAATTAGCAGGAAGTGCTCTGAACAGCGGGCCCAGAGCTGGAGCTTCTCGTACATGGCAGGGGATGAGAAACCCAGCTGGTTTTAAGGTGCATCTTTCTTGAGGTAGTTGGTGCCATAGTGAGGACAGACTGTGTTGGTTCAGGAAGGGACCTGGCTGGGCTGGGGGCAGTGGGAGACGGGGTAAGACTGGACAAGGCGCTTGCAGGTTATTGCACGTGGCAGGAAATAGAGGCTTCAGGTGCTGAGAAATCCCTTTGAGAAGAGTTTGGTCAAAGCCAAGCACAGATTGTCTCCGTCAGCAGGGAAAAAGGCGAGGACAATCCTTCCAAAAAGGAACAGAATCAGAGAACAGTAAAGAGGTGGGTGGTTCAGAGGTGAGGAAGTGTCTGAAGGCGGCTTATCAGGGCAAGTCTGTAACAGGAGATACAGCCTCTAATTAGGCTGGGTGCAATCACCTCCTATCTATAGCTTGTGTTGGGTCTTAAAGAAGAGCAGAGATGATCTTGCAGCCATAGCGCAGGTCCTGGTCCTGCATCGCACTGATTAGTCCTGTGGCTTTCGGTGCTCCGGACCTCTCTCCGCACGGAGACCATTCCTGGTAGTTCTTACTCATCTCACCATGGATGTGGAAAGGCAGGTCAAGGTCTGCAGCTTGGGCACGGGGCTGGGACCTGGTGGGCTCCCTCCTGCACAGTGACGGGCAGTTCCCTGGCCACCAGGACCATCCATGGCTCATGCAATAATCACCGAGCTGCCGTTCGAAAGGCCAAAGAGCAGCGTTAAAGCAGGGCTGTGATTAGCTTTGGAGGGGTCCTTCTCATCCCCGCTAAAATGCTCTGTGATTTCCTGTGAAATGGAGCCTTGAAAATTAACCACCGGGGGATCATTTGCTAAGTACAGATATTAAGCAGCTCGGAGAAACCAGACGATTATGTAACATCCATTAGCGGCATCAAAGGCATTGCGGGGTTTTCTTATCGAGGTCTCGGTCCTGGCCGCTAAAGGCTAAGCCGGGCTCTCTGTTCAGCCTTGAGAGCTGTATTTGAAGAGGCAGCAGGTTGGGGAGGGCTTGTCAGGCCACAGGGAGATTTTCCTGCCCGCTCGGCTGCGGCTCCGTGCTGCTCCGGGCTCCTCCGGCAGCGGATGCGGGTTTGGGAACGCGTGTGGCCGAGGGCTGGTCCTCGCTTCCATCCGAGAGCTGGGGCCTTTGCAGGCCAACAGACCCCTCTTTGCTCCTGCAAGGTGTCTCCAGCTGGAGTTTGAAGCTCTGCTTGAAAGTTCAGGGAATTTCCATCTTTTCTGTCCTTCCCAGGTTGCTTTCCTGAGCTTTTACTTCCTGGGAATAAGGTTCACCCCGCGATGGTTGTTATCTCCCCAGCAGCAAGTGGGATAGGGGAAGCAAGGGAGCTCTGAGCCCAGCTTTCAGGCTGCTGCTCGCTTCCTTGCACCCAAAGGTTTCTGGGCTGTTCAGCCTCACACTTTGATTCTGCCATCATTTTTTGTTCCGGTGAAAACTTTATATATATATCCCCTTTGAAAGGTGACTGCTTTGAGTAAAAAAGCAGGATTTAAACATAGTATCTTCTGAGAGAGAGGTGGGGGCTCCTCTTTGAAGGTGCATTCTGCTGTCTGGCACCCTGAGAACTGCAATGCTCCGAAGCACCCCAAGATGGGGGTCCTTTGGAGAGGCAGTGCTGCTTCCTGCCCTAAGAGCAGGATAAAGCAGCAGGATGGTCCCGGCTGCTGCAGGATGAGCCCGGACATCCCTGGCAGTGGGAATTGGGCTGGAATTTTACCATGGCTCATGGTCAGGCTGATCTACGTCTGTGTGCGAGAGGGGTGAGCGTGACCAGCAGTTTATCTGCAAGGTGTCCAGGATGTTGGGCTCCCTCGTGCCCGCAGGAGCTGCTGTAAACAGAGGAGCTGGGTCCCCCCAGCCTGTCCAGGCTCCTGCTGTCGGGATGGGTCCCTGCTCGTGTGCTGTGATCCTCCTCGTCGGAGCCTTTCCAGGAACTCGGTGGGCTGGAAGCAGGAGAGGGAACAGAGCTGTGTTTTGTGTTGTCTAATGCTGCAGGACAGCTTTAATGTGAGCACTTCAGTCTTAATTAACTCCGGATCTGCTTGGCTTTGAACCGCCTTTGGCTCCCTGGCTTTTGTGGAGCTGCGAGGAGGCACAAGCAGCCAGGGCAGGCGGCTCTCGGGCTGTGTGAAAGGCACTCGGGATCGTCGCTCCGGGCACTGCTCCGTGCTGGCTGGTTTGTCAGCACGGTCCCCTCCAGACAGGAGCTTCCTTGGAGTGAACCGATCCTCCAGGGCGCTGCGTTTCCCTGGGCTTTTCCTGCCATTCCTCCTTCCCTTTGCTCCTCGGGAGGCTGAAGGCTCTCAGCACCATGGAGGATCATGCTCAGAGCAGGCAAGTGATGTCCCAAGTGGAGGGGTGGTCATGCTCCTGTGCTGGATTGCATAGGAGAGCAGGCGTTTTCCTGCTCCAGCACTGTCCTTCCTGCACACGAGCATGCCCAGGGGCTGGGATCACGCCTGAGGGACGGGAATATATTGCAAAGCTGCTTCAAGCCCAGAGAAAGATGTGCACCGGGCAGCCGGCCGAGAAAAGGGTGTTAATCCTTTCTAATATGATAACAAGATCCATTCTGGGGCTTAGATTCTCATGTCTTTTCTGCTGAGCACAAGGGTCTTGTAATTAGTGGATTCACTGCCATTAATGAGTTATTCAGGCTGTGCCTGCTGGGGAGCAGCAAGGCCAGACTGGCCTTTCCTGCATGGAGGTAGGTGCTGGGGTCAGAATAGCACTCATTTATTTTGTGGATATCAGGGGTTCTTGTTCATTCCCCCATGCTTTTTGCTTCTCATCCTTGTCCTCCTTCCTTCCTTCTCTTTTTTTTTTTTCCTTTTTGTTTTTGCCAGCTGGGTCTTCAAATCAAGAAATGGAAAAAGGTCTGCAATTTGCTGTACTTGGGTCAGTTTGGGGCCTCTTCCCCACCGCTTTTGGGGAGTGCAGAGCACCAGGCTGGCACGGGCTCCCTGCCAGCAGGACGGATGCTCCTGGTGCAGCTCTGTGCTCAGGGCAGCAAAAGGGGGTGGGAAGGCTTCAAAAGGATGAGTCAGAAAACACCTTGACCTCAACAGGCACAAGAGGGTTGATGTGGGCCTGTTGTGGGGGACCTTCCTTAGAGTTTTTTGGTAGTTTGGGGAGGCAGGTGCAAAAACAAGCAAAGCAAAGAGCAGAGAAGATAAAACCCAGTCAGGCAGCAGCAGGATTGAATCCAGCCTCATCAGTCATGCTGTGTTTTATTTTGCGAGTTTTATTTTCCTCCCACAGTTACCGAGGTGTGTTGTTCCCTTGGCTTCTCCCCGAGGGTCCGTGCCCAGATCTTGGCTGCGCAGCGTGTCAGATCAGAGCCCAAGGCAGTGTCTGCAGGCAGGATCCCTCCTTCAGCCCAAGGCTTCCCAAAACGTGACTCACGGGTGACACGTAGCCTCCAGGAGCTGCCTGCACTTTCCAAATGCAGCAGTCTAGTAACAGAGACGTGTTGCACGGAAGGGGAGCCGGTCCCGTTGCTCCCAGCGATGCTCTGGTACCCGGAGCTTGTTGGCACGTTACTGTCCTGTCTGCATCCCCAGCCGGGCAGCAGGGATTGCACCAGTGGGCATTAGAGATTAGCGACTGCCTTTGAGGGCTGAAATTAAGGTGATTAATCTGGGCTGATGAATGGGAATCAGCAGCCGGGCGGCTGGCAGGGCCGGCAGAGCGAGGGCTCTGCTGCTTTTTGGGTGTCTGCACATGGTGCTACGGTGGGAGATGGCCCTCGGGGCATCTCACGTGCCAGGGCCGAGCGGAGCATCGCGCTAACTTGTCACCCCTCCTGTCTGAGCGCTTTTCCATGGTCCGGGTGTTTGGCATGGGGCTGTGCGCCTGCATCTAAGGACAAAACTGCTCCCGGGAAAGGAGCTTGTGCAGCCGGAGCTGCTAATTATCCAATCATCCCTCCAGATGGTCCCTCTCCCTGTGCAAGTCCAGCTTTGCTCTGGGTAGAATCCTAATTACCCCAGCCCACGAGCTGCGCCGTGCTGAGCGTTCCCTTCCTTGCTGCTGCCAAAAGCTGTTAGCGACCGGGAAATTCCTGCTTTCTGCCTGCCGGTGTCGCGACGGCTGCTGCTTCCGCAGCCTCGAAGGAAACCAATTTTTGTTGAGTTTTGCAGCTCTACCTGGTGCTGGAGCAGGTTTTCCTGGATGATGAGTTATAAAAGAGGATGTCATCTGGTTGTTGTCGTGTCTGCCCTGGTTTCAAGAGTGGCAAAGGCCACTTTGGGGCAGCAGGTTGGCCCTCAGCACTGCTCTGCTGTATGAGTGAGTGCACAGCACGGCTTGGCCGTGTATGTAGGGTGGTGGATCCCTCTCATGCACAGGGCACAGTGAGCTCTGATCCAAATCTCCCCTTTGCAAGACCTGGGAGCTGCCAAGCCGCTCCTGAGTTCCTTGGGAGGAGGTAACTGGTGGGACTTGTCCCCATGGCCTCCGAAACCTCAAGGTTTCAGAGGAAAACATCCATCCTTGGGAGAGATGTGGCCGCAGTGCCTCTCCTGGAGCCCTCCCAGATGTGTCCCTTGATATTCTCTCTTACATCTAAGACATAGAAACTGGGAGAAAGATCTTGCAGCTTTGTCGGAAGGTGTGGAGCACTATGCAATGGCGGGGGGATAACTGGCAAATAAGTGTAATGAGCAGTGAACAGAGAGAAATTCATCCGACTTGTCTGTTCCTGAAGCTGGAGGAATGGTCAAAACTCATCCCAGCAATTCCTGGATGGAGGGAGAAGCAAATTCCCCAGGACAGCTGGTTGAGGGTTAATCTTCCCCGCAGCTCTGCTCAGCAGAATTTGCTCCCTTCAGCCCTTCTGAGCAAAGCAGTAACTGCACTTTAAGGTGAAAGCAATCCCAGTCAATCGCACGGGATAACAGCAGCCTGGCATCATTAGAGCCAAATTTATTCGGTAGTCAGGAACGTTCAGAAACAGCGGAAGGTACAGCTGTCCTGTCTTGAAGAATTACCTGCCTATCTTCTACCCACATCTTGCTTGCCATGTGATTTCTGCATTGCCTTTTCCCTTATCTGCCGCCTGTTTATATAGTATCTTAGATCCCTGCAGCTCTGAAGGCAGCAGATAAACCTGCTCCAGGACTTTGCACCTCATTCCAAGCAGCCCTTCAGCTGTGTGAGTGCCACGGATGTGCACAAATACTAATCCAACAGCATGAGAAGTCCTGGGCTCCCCTTGCTCGCTGATCTGCCCCAGAACAGGGCTTGGGACACAGGACGTCCCTGCCATGCTGCACTTGGAGCTCTTGCTTATCGGAGTGGTACAGAGCAAGAAATTTTATCCAGGCCAGTTAGATCAGGTCCACAATAAGCACACAGCTCCCATTAATGTGGGCTCTTTCCTTTCCTATGTAAGCAGAGAGTTTGAGACGGCCTCTGGCTGGGACTGTCCTTGCTAAAGCTCCGCTTGCTCCTCCTGGAGCTGCCCTGATGGGGAAATATGGGAAAGCTGCGTTGCTTTCTGCTTGTCTGAAGCCTCAGGAGAACAGTCCGACCCTCCTGCTGTGTTTGTGCTGCAGGATGGCCAAGCGGGGCCAGGGAGAAGCCCCTTTGCTGCCAGTGGGTCTCATTCCTTCTCCCTTCTTTCCTTCTCCTCCAGGACATACAACCTCACCTTCCTGCATCCGTACTACCGGACAGACGAAGCGGAGGAGAATCCCTTCATCTGCTCGTCCCATCGTGAAAACGGCATGCAGAAATGCTCCAACATCCCAAACAGGAAGGAGTACAAGGTGGAGTGCACTTTGAGCATGGACTCCTACACTCCGAGTTTGTACA